TAAAGAAAACTAGTAACAGATTCTATATGGTCTCGAATTTGTTTGGTTTGGGGGTCATACCTGGTGATGCTCAGAGATCACTCATGGCAGGTTTTGAGGGACCGTATGTAGTTCCCGAGATGGAATGTGGATTGACTTCATATAAGGGAGAGCCCTACTCACTATGCTATCTCTCTGGCCCTGCTCTCAAATATTTAAAAGTCTGTGTACTCAAGCAAAATAACAATTAAAAAATCCCCAAGTATCACGTTGACAGTGGTAATTGGTAAATGACAATGTCACATAAGATTTTAATCTCTTTATGCTTTTGCTGCAAAGAACTCACTTTTAGGAACCTGGGGACACTGGTGGAGGGATGGGTGCTGGGAATACTGTATAACTGAAATCTAATCATGAACAACTTTGTAAGGGTCTGTCTCACAGTGATCTGATTAAAAAACAAAAAGAGGGGCCGGAGTGATAGCACAGCGGGTAGGGCGTTTGCCTTGCACACAGCCGACCTGGGTTAAATCCCTGGCATCCCATATGGTCACCCAAGCACTGCCAGGAGCAATTCCTGAGTGCAAAGCCAGGAGTAACCCCTGAGAAATGCTGGGTGTGACCCAAAAAGCAAAAAAAAAAAAAGGGAATTACTTTGTATGTTGTTTATCAGCAGCTAAAAGTCATATCAAAAATTAAATTGTCAAATAATGACCAGCTGTCTCTTCTCACCCAAAAGACCAGGTCATTTTTACAATGTCCCATAACCCTTGTTGGGATGGGCTGAGAAGCAGGCTGAATGGACCTTTGAGGGTCCACTTGCGGCGGTTGCTCACTAGTCTAGCCCTAAGTGTCTCCACCAACTGCCGGTGACCTCTCTGATGTAGCTGTGGGGACCCACTAGATCCCAGAGTTGACCTGAGTTTATTTTAAAGTGAAGGTGCAAAAAGGAAACAAAATTCAGAGTCTCTGCAAGACATGCTCTATCTCTTTATCTGCCTAAGAGCTGCAATTTGCGGACCTAAGTCAGCACGAAGCCTTTCCAGGGCAGATCTACTCTCAGTGGAATAGGTCCTGACAAAACCCACTCAAACCCCTTCTCCAGGAGAGAGATGGCCCTGAAAGAGACTGGAAGAGCATCAGACCTGTAGCTAGGCCTTGCCATGCAGGTCTCTGAAACATGACGTGTCATTCTGAAAGAAACTCATTCACTCGTCCCACGAAGCCCTATTTTCTCCTGTTCCCTGTCCTCCTCACCCAGATGCACAACCAGCCTTTTCCTTAAACCACCTGAGGCCATGCCCAGAACCTTCTTCTACCTTGAGCCTGCCTTACCTCCTGTTAATCTGCAGATCCCAGCTAGGGAATCTATGAGGGTGGAGGTCACATGTTTCTTCCCTTTCCTGCCTGGCAAAGAAGACCTCCTCCAAGAATCTGCCACCCAAGGCTGTTTTGCCTCTGGCATGTGACGCACACAATGAATATTTGCAAGAGTTAAGCATTTATGTGAATGTGGTTAAGGAAGATCTGATAAAGATGAGCCAGAGATTGTAGGGATGTCTTTCTGCAATGATCCAGCTCAGGACCAGGCAAAAGTTGATCCCACCGTGATCACAATGTGATCACATTCCTTGTGATCACATTCCCCATGTGTACCTATTCCAAAATAATATTCAAGGAAATCATCTTGGTGGAAAAGTCTTAAGTGAAAAGGTACTACGAGGAAATATAAAGGAGGAGATGGCTTTGTATAGCTGAATCTGACCTCTCGAGAGTTTATCCCTGGAGAAAAAGAACCCAACCTCTTCCTTATCGCCTTCTTCGCTTTGGTCAGCTATTAACTTGAGCAATTCACTGGCTTGAAATGAGCAGGATAGCAAAACTCTGGGGTCACAGAACAGGCGTACTTGGACAGTGTAGAGGAAGAAGGAAAACTCTGAAAGGGGCACTTCCTGCAGCACCTGGCCACAGATGGGTCAGTAGTCCTCTGGGCTTCCGGGGACCTCTCTGTGCCAGCAGGAGTCACTCCTGGCTTTATCGACAATCACCCACAGAGACAGAGGGGCAGCCTGGCTTGGCAGCTCCTCCCAGCAATAGTATTCAAGCTCATCTCCCCAGGACCACCTGGAGGAAAGCCCAGGCCTGATGCTTCTGGAGGCCGCTACCTTTCTCTCAGCCTCAGCACTTACACTTCCTTGCCATGTGGCACTATGCACTACCCAAAAGGCAAGGAGCCTGTGTGAACATCTAGGTTGCCATGGAGAGGATGCTTCCCCAAGACCATACAGCCAACAAAGGGCAGAGTTCACAAGTGCACCAGTGCACCGTGTTCCCTGAGCAGCCGGCGTGGCCTGTCTATCCACTTCATCCTACATATCTGCCCAGGGCTGTGTGCCAGTCCAGCTTCTCTTCCGTTTTCTCTCTCTCTCCTAGAGTCACCTTGCCTCTACGGGTCATGCCTTCATCTTCTCATTCCTGTCAGGAGATTCACTAGCCTCTCAAGAGCCCTTACAGCCTCAGGACTCTGAGCAGATGTCAGCAGGGCCAGGAGTGTGCCCCAGATTCTGTGACACGCTAGCCCCCTACCCAGGGTCCTGTTTGTGGGTCACATCTGCTCAGCATTCCCAGATGGCAGACTCAACCCTCAGGTACCAAGAGAGGTCAGTTCTCCTTCACTAAGAACCCATGTATGGCTCCACCCACATCTGGGGAAACATGGGGGACTTCTGTGTCTCAGGTTCCTTCTAGTCGCCCCCCTTGCCCCCCAACCCACAATATCTCCCTCCCAGAGCCCTACTTCTGCTCTTAAGAATATTTACTGGCAGATCAGTCACACCTGGGGCTTCACTCTTGAATGCGCCTGGTAGCCTTGCACAGGGACATGTCTGGGGACGTGTTCTTGAGCTGTGCTTCTGGAACATCTACCCCATTCTCCTTTCCACTGAGCAAATAAATCCTCTTCATCCTCTCAGGCTTACCCTGTAAGCCTGCTTCTCTTATCCACCTTTCTGGAACAATTCAGCAAGAAACAAGTGTGAGGACCAGTTCCCAGTTCCTAGGCTGAAACACAGCTCAGCAACCAAGAGCAACGGACTAAGCGTTCACATAGCTGTTGAACCTATCACCAGAGAGCGTCAGGTTTGAAAAGCGAGACTACAATTTGCAGCGCACTATGATTAGGGAGAGAAGAAAGGCTTGGATATATAAATCAATGCCATCCATTCTTCTTCTTGTATTAGGGGAGAGCACAGCTGGCCATCTTCAGGGGTCACTTTGGGCTCTGTGCTCAGGGATTACTCTTAGCAGGACTCAGGAGACTACAAAGGACTGAACCCGAGTTGATTGCATGCAAGGCAAGACCCTACCCACTGTACTAGTGCTCCAGTCAGAGATCATCTATTTTTCTAAAATAGGTAGAACTCATGAGATAAACATGAGTACAGCAATGTGATTACTGCTCACAAGGGCAGAGGCGGTAACAGGTCTCAGTGGGAACGAGAGATGAAAGAAATAGTAAACATGGGAGACAGAGAGGAAGTAAAAAAATCTCCCCATAACTGGCCGGGAAACCAAGTGTCCACAGAAAGAAAACAAGCAACAGCTTGAAACATAAAACTTGTGAGACTCATGGCAACCCCACTCGTGACACAGAGGAGTGGGAAGTCAGCATAAAGTACCCAAGCCTATGCCTCACCCTTCTATATGACCCGACCAGAACTGTTGACTGTCTCTTTCTCACCACCAGGAAAGATGCTCCGAGGGGAATGCCTGTCTTGTTTATCCTGAGCACTACGGGTGGAACATACAAGGGCTTTCAGTAAGTGTTTGTCAAATGAATAAACAAGTGTATGGGTTTTCTTGGGATGCTTAAATCTCTGCTTTAGATGTAAACCTCTCAACAAGAAATAGTCTTAGGAAAGGGGTTTGTCCTCTCTTTCCCCTCACTAAGTCCCCTCCTGGCTGTTCAAACGCCTTCCTCATGGAAACAGAGCTTTTTCCTTGAGCTAAGGGTCAATGGCTCTATTTGTTTCACTGTCACGCCCAACATCACCTTGTTGGGTTTGTTTTAGAGCAGTTATCACTCTGAAGTGCTGTGATTCATCTGAGTATTGGCTAAGGCTCTCTCTCCAATAAGTCAGATATAAAAGAGCAGTATTATTCCCAGAGCCTATGTCCCTGGTTGGTAGCTGGCAGGAACTCAGTAAAGTACCTGCTGAGTGAAGACCGGATGAACGGATGGACAGATGGATGGATGGGCAGATGAATGACTGTTCTTCATCCCTTCACATAGAGGAAATGCCTGGTCTGGAAGCAAAGATAAATCACTCTGCTCTATCTGCTGTCTAAACTTGACCTTGGCGTGTTACTTATGCAGAGGGGCTCACAGACATCCAATTAGTTGTTAATTATATTCAATCAGCTCTGGGTCTGAGCAGACTTGGCTTAATGAGGTTCAAGGGCAGGTGGCTTCGAGCTGTTCTGACCTGCACATAGAGGCTGGACTTCTGACCTGGACATGCATGCTCTGGACATGGGCGTCTCCCTGCACACCCACGGAGGGATCTGGAAGCCAGGCGGTTAAAAGGAAGGGCTGGCAAAAAGTGCCGTTTTCCTACTGAAAGGCCAAACCTCAGAGGGAATGGGTGCAGATCAGCTGAGCAGACACTATTTACCTTCCCAGGAATTTCTGGGCAGCCACAGTGTCAAGGAGAGCACGCAAGAGCAAAGCGAAGACCTGGGGTTTCTCTGCACGAGGGCACTCCTGGGGGGCACTGTGCCCGGTCCGCCAGGGCCCACCAAGCAAGGCTCGCAAGAAACAACGAAGGGGCCCCGGCCTGAACACCCCTCGGGGACTGGCCAAGCATCCGTCTGCCCCCCACACAGCCAGGATTCTGGGCTCCCCCCCCTCCACCCCGCCACCCCTCGAGTCGTCCCTCCTCCTCCGGCTCTGCCCTCGGCACGCAGGTCCCCGCGCCCTCCGCGAACCTTGCCCAGCCCAAAGCCACTGCGCAGGTGCTTACCGGCTCGCGTCACTGTCGGGGGCGGCGGCGGGGGCGCCCCCAGCCCGGCCCTTCCCTTGTGCCCGAGCCCATTTCCCGCAGACTCTCGCCGACCCGGGCGCCCCAGGGCGCAGTGCCCGGAGCGGGCCGGGGGCGGCGAGCGCGGCGGGGCGGCGACCGGGCGGGTTGGGCCGCCGGCTCGGGTGCTCGCGGCCCGGGCGCTGGGTTTCCGGGAGGGCGGCGGGGCGGGGCGGGCCGGGCCGAAGCCGTCCGACTGGTCCGACGGCGGCGGCGAGGGGCCGGGCCGGCACCTCCTGCACGCCCCGCGCCTCCTTCACTCCGGGAGCCTCCTGCGGGGTCCGAGGCTCCCGCACATCCCGCGCCGCGCTCCTGCGCTCCTCCAGGGGACCGGCGCTGCCTGCCTGTCCCGCGCCTCCTGCACCCCGCGCACCCCGCGCCGCCCGGTGCCGCCTCTGGGCGCCCTGACTGCTCGCTTCAGCGCTGGATCCGGAAACCGAGGACAGACCCAGGCGGGTGCAGCCTGCAGCGGGCCCCTCTAACATAAACTTGTGTATTTCGTGGGTACAACTTGTGTATTTCCTGGTAGAAAAGGAAGCCGCAGTGTTTCTGAGCTCAGCAGAACTTGGACCGTTCTGTCATGGTTTGATTCTGAAGGACCTCTCTTTAGCGGGTTTTGTAAACTGGAGACAAGGATGCACGTGGTTGCATCTTAAAACTTGAGCTGAAAGTAGACTATATACCAAACGTGATGGCAATTTAATACCTCTATTGCAAACCACAACACCCAAAAAGAGAAAGAGAGAGAGAACAAAAGGGAATGCCCTGCCACAGAGGCGGGGTAGGGTGGAGGGACCAGGTGGGGGTGGTGGGAGAGATGCTGGGACCATTGGTAGTGGGAAATGGGCACTGGTGGAGGGATGGGTACTGGATCATTGTATGACTGAACCGAAAGCACGAAAATTTGTAAGTCTGTAACTGTACCTCACGGTGATTCACTAATAAAACATTAAAAAAAAAAACTTGAGGATTAGTTTAGCAAGCATGTCCTCAGCCCATCTTGTATTGGCAAGAAACTTCTGTTTCCCAGTGTCACACCGGTTGGCACTATCGGATTGCTATTTCTGCAGCTCTGTAAAGCAACATATGTGAAAATCCGACTGAAGTGAGTCCATGTTTCCAAAATAGCTAGTGGTATTTTAGCTTCCCCAGAGATTGCCAGCCTGGAAAAGTCCAGCGCTCTCTCTTTGAAGGTCCCTAAAATGGAGCCGGCCAGGCTCTGAACAAGCAAGAACAACGGTAATATATATGTTGAGTCTTAAGTTTGCGCCAGGCAGTGAGGTGGAACCTGTCTCAACACATTTAATCCTTTGGAGAGCCCCATGAGGTAGGAACTTTTCCACTTCATGAGGAGACTTAGGCGCAGACAGATTAAGTAACCTGATCCAGGTCCTAACAGCAAGTCCCAAACCCAGAGGTCTGCAGCACCACCCAGTGCTGTTCCTTTGGCTTGGAGCCTAGGTCATCAATCTTAGAGCTATCTAATTTTTTGTCCACTCTTTGAAGATTTGTTGTGGACTCACTGTGCATATGCCAAGCACTCATTAGACAGTATGAGACACAGGAATGAATCAAATATACCAAGTTTGCAGTGCAGCAGGGAGAGAAACATCAGCATGTGATTGAGGAAGCTCCTGAGTGGAGAATTCCTGGAGAGGAGGGCTCTTCAAAGGGGGGACCCCCATGGCATATCCTTTGCAGACTCCTGAGTGTATATGGCAAGAATTCAAATAGTCCGAAGCAATGTAGTAGAGTTGCTGAAAAGAGGTTTGTTGTATTATGAAATGCTGGGGAACCTGGAGTAGAAATCCTTTAATACTGGTCTAGCTAGAGGTAAACTTTAGACCTTTCATTGAAACCCCAGAAGGCCACACATCCCAGGATTAAGGAAGACCAAAAAAAAAAAAAAATCCATGCAAAATCTAAAATAGAGGTGAAGTTCCGTGCCATCACTCCTGTTAGAACCAAACCTAGCTCTGTTGGAGAAAATTATAGAATCCAGAGCACTGACCATACCTACCTTACAAAAAATTATTTGACATTCAAAGAAATAGAAAACGCAAACCATAGTCGAGATTTATAAATACAGTCAATTAAAATAGACCCTCTAATGCTGGGGCCAGGAAGAAATTACTAAATAGAGGGAAACTGTTTATATCTATAAGTTTAATACTTCTGATACCCCCTTAAGCAATTCTCCAACCCTCTGAATACCAACTGGGTAGCCCCAGATTAAACACTCAGTCTCATAAACAGTTTCCCACTTCAGATGCTAACATCTAACTCACACCATTGACCCACCTAATTCTATAAATCTAGGTCACTCAGACCTCCATACCTAAGTTGGGTAATATTTTAGAATGGTTCACAGAATTCAGGAATGCACTTTCCATCCATTACAGTATCCTGTCATGGATATAGCCTAGGTGCAAGTAGATGGAAGTGATTCAGAGGGAAAGGTGTGAGGTAGCTGGCGCAGCTGCCCTGACTTTTCCAGATGCCCACACCCCCCCCCCCCCCGCTATGTGGGTGAGCATCCCTGCCCAGAATTTCTCCAAATACTGTTGTTGAGAAGTTTTCATGGCAGTTCCATTACTGAGGCCCCCTTTGTTAATCATGTTCGCTGGGGACTGAACTCAGTCTGAGATCAGGGATGAGATGGAAACTCCCCTCAGACCCCCCAACCCCCACCCCCATAGAGTCGTTTCCTCTGGCCAACAATCCTCAGAAAGGGCTTTCCTTAAACACTAGTGTTGCCTAACAAGACTTGTGAATAATAAAAGTTCTTCCTTCACATTTACCACCGCAAAACTATGTTCAGGAACTGTGACCCAAATATTAGAGCAAAAGTCACTACTAGCACACAAGAGATGGAAATTTTTGTAGAAGCTCTGCTGTAAACTAAGAGCAAAAACCAAAGATATAGTTTATTTAATATGAATCCATATGTGTAGCACAGTGGGTGGAGCATTCACCTTGTATGCGGCCAACCCAGGTTCAATTCCGCGGTCCGTCTCGGAGAGCCTCGAAAGCTACTGAGAGTATCCTGTTCTCACGGCAGAGCCTGGCAAGTTACCAGTGGCATATTCGATATGCCAAAAACAATAACAAGTTACTGGTGCCCACTCGAGCAAAAGGATGAACAATGGGAGCACAGTGCTACAGTGCTACATATGTGCTCTATCATAATATTTGTGTACACTATCATAATAACATAGAGATAAACAAAACATCCAAATCAGAGTATAAAGAAGTAGCTATAAAGCAAGAGAATAGATAGCAAAAGATACATGAAAGGAGGCAGAGAATTTTATAAGAAATACCAGTCAAGGTTAAAGAAACTTTGGTACACAATGGAATACTACACAGCTGTTAGAAAAGATGAGGTCATGAAATTTGCATGCACACAAGTGGACCAAGATGGAAAGTATCATGTTAAGTGAAATGAGTCAGAAAGAGAGGAACAAACATAGAAAGATTGCACTCATCTGTGGAATATAAAGTAACAGAATGGGAGACTAAAACCAAGAATAGTAGAGATAAGTACCAGGAGATTTGCTCCACAGCTTGGAAGCCAGCCTCACATGCTGGGGAAAAAGGTAGCTCACACACAAGAAGGGATAGAGATAGAAATAGAGATAGAGAAGGGAACACCAAGTAAAGGGAGTTTGGAGGGCCCACTCGGGTTGGGAAATGAGTGCTGAAAGTAGACTATAGACGGAACATGATGGCCATTCAATACTTTCATTGCAGACCACAGCACCCTAAAGGAGAGACAGAGTAAAATGGAATATGCCTGCCACAGAGGCAGGGAAGGGGAGAGGGTATGGGAGAAATAAATAAAACATTGGTGGTGGAAAACGGGCACTGGTTGACGGATGGGTACTCGATCATTGTATGACTAAAACATAAGCATGAAAATTTGTAAGTCTGTAACTGTACCTCATGGTGATTCATTAAAAAATAATTTTTTAAAAAGGAAATACCAGTCAGACCATTTTTACAAAGATGGCACCAAAAGCCAAGAAGAAAACCCCTGCCCCTCCCAAAGCTGAAGCCAAAGCCAAAGCTTTGAAGGCCAAGAAGGCAGTGCTGAAAGGCATCCACAGCCACAAAAAGAAAAAGATCTGCAAATCACCCATCTTCCGAAGACCCAAAATGCTGTGGCTAAGACGGCAGACCAAATACCTCCAGAAGAGTGCCCCTAGGAGAAAGAATCTTAACCATTATGCCACCGAGTTCCTCTGACCACTGAATCAGCCATTAAGAAGATAGAATATGACAACATTCATTGCTGGTGTTCGTTGTAGATGTCAAGGCCAATAAGCACCATATTAAACAGGCTGTGAAGAAGCTCTATGACATTGACATGGCCAAGGTCAGCAGCCTTATTAGGCCTGATGAGGAGAAAATAGGCATATGTTCGGCATATGACTATGATGCCTTGGATGTTGCCAACAAAATCAGGATCATCTAAACAGTCCAGTTGCCTAATCCTAAATACAGTTGGTTTTTTTTTTACCATAAAGAAGAAAGAAATACTAGTCACCATTTAAAAATATAACCAAGTATTTTAGATCTGCATCAGGGAGAAGAAACATTTATTTTTATTGCTCTGTTATGATAGCACAGTGGGTAGGACATTTGCCTTGCACATGGCAGACCCAGGTTCGATTCCTCCATCCCTCTCAGAGAGCCCAGAAAGCTACCGAGAGTATCCCGCCCACACGGCAGAGCCTGGCAAGTTCCCCGTGGTGTATTAGATATGCCAAAAACAGTAACAAGTCTCACAATGGAGATGTTACTGGTGCCCACTCGAGCAAATTGATGAACAAGGGGAAAACAGTGCTACAGTGCTACCGTTATGATGCAATGCCTCACTTAGTCTCGTCTCTCCAGAGAGGAGATAGGCAAATTTGCCAGGTGTTCCTATACCAGATTAGGACAAGCCAGTGCTGAGGTCCTCAGCTCTTACCTGCTCTGTGGAGGTATCATCAATTTCTCATCATGCAATCTGCGAGATTTGGGGGTGGATGAGGTTGTGCTGTAACACTTCTGTCTGACTGCAACTATCTCTGGGTGTCTGCTGGTGTCAAGAAAATTTAAGACAAAAACCTAAGACTCTTTACAGTTACTGATTTAACAGAGGTAAAGAGGAAAATGTGATCAGGATTCAGGGGCACACATAGACCTTGCTACTAGGACTCAACAATTGGAGTGATGGATGGATGACTTCTCATCACTAACTATGTTGGTG